AGGTCAGCAGAGGTTTAAATGAGCTTGTCTTGCATCCAGCTGGGCCAGCAGGAGGTCATTAGGAAGATCCAAGGCTCACTTTAGGCTTGACAGAGTCTCTCCCCATGATACAAGGAGACCGTTTTGCTCATTGCTCTTCTCTCAGTGTATAAAAAGAACCCCGGGGACAAGAATGACACCGAAGTTTATCTTACTACCAAAGTTTTGCTTGAGGAGGGCACAACCAGCAATTACTCAGGAGGGGGATTTACTTTGTTTGTTTGCTTTTGATGGAAAGTAATGGAGATAAGCACAAAAGGCCTATTGATCTGCTGGCTCTATTGTGAAACCAAACAGAGGATCAGTGGGGGAACATCTCAACGTTTAAAAGCCAGAGGACCTACATAACTTCACTGTATGAAGAATTTTGGAAGCAGAGAATTGAAATTTGATTGGGTGCAGTGTTGGAAATGAAGCAGTCATCTATTAAGAAGCTCTCCTCTGAGGATTAACACACTATTTGACAGCTAATTACATTAGGGCACATATACTAATAGTTCCCTTGAACTGGTGCTAAGTGGCTCATTTCTTGGAGGTATTGCCTGGCATTTATTGAAAAGCTCTCTCTATAAAAGTTCTCTATAAGTTTCCAAACATAGAGAATGATGGAAAAAATGGATGCTGCTTTGCTGAGAAGGTGATAACAGGAGGCAGGTAGCATGTTTTCACATCTTCACCTCTGTTGTTAATGTATGCAGTGGCTCATCAGAGCAGCTCATGTTAATTTATTCCTGCACACCTGTACAGGGCTGGAAGTCAGGTAATAAGATGAGCAAAAACTATACATCTCTGCTGTTTAGCTATGGCTACCCAGAGGCCTATACAAGAACAAATTTAGTTCTGGAGACATCAGCAGGTTTTAATAAACCAAATACAGATGTCTTACTCCATACAAATCAAGAAGTTTACATGTTTAAATCTGGACTGATTTAACTAGCAATCAAAGAGAAGGTTCACACTTGGCATCAATGGTTACCTCATATTTATTTATAAATCACCCTAGGCACATATTATTTTGTTTTAAAATTTATTCATCTGGCTGAAACAACCTCCACACACCTTAAGTAAGGATGAAGAAGAGGCTCCTGTGTTTCTGATACAATCTATGACAAACTCCAGCAATTACTGCTCAGTGGTAAAAAATGAAGAGGGCAAAGCTCACAAGGATGCTAACTTCTTTCTATACACATCACCTAGTTTCTGGAGGTCTTCGGTTTTAAATTTCCAATCACCAAAGCAAATGCAAATAAAACAACACACTAGGAAATGATGAAGAAAGTTAGGAAAATGGGCAGATGATTTAGCTGTTTGCTTGCCTTTCCCACCCCTTAAATAATAATACTAAAAACAATGCCTGGGCTTCTCTTCTGCATAGATGAGTGGCCAGTGAGTCATCCTAAGGATCAAATATTAAGTCTGAGGATGAAAACTAGCACAGGTAAATTAAGCTCTGCTGAGTGTAACTAACATGCTTTTATGCACACTGCAGCTTCAGGCTACTTGGTCAGATACTCCCAGGGAGTATCTCACATGCATAGTTCTCCAAGTCAGCCTCCTGTTGCCTCGCAGAACAACTCAGCAGCAGAAAAAAAAATCAAGGGATACATAAGGAAAGAATCTGACAATAATCTCTGAGCAACAGAGCTCTTTACAGAGGAAATGATTTACATTTCACTTCAATCATTCAGAATAAAGGTCATTCTTACAGCTAGTTGGTGATGAGGGGAATATTAGCTTGTTCTTTGTCACTAATGTGGAATGATCCTCCTGACTTTTGAATTGATCAAACACACCATTATTGACAACTATACACAGAAGGACACCTTTGAAAATGTTTCTGACTCTTGTCTTCCCTTGGATGTGTGTCCTTCTCTCACTGCCAAACCCAAAATATTGTACTTTAATGTTATTTTTCCATGTCCATCTTACTAATATGCTCACTAGAAGACCTCAAGTGCACCCCTCATGTGTATTCATCTTAGAAGCTGCTCCCAGCTCCTATAGGGTACTGCAGACTGGAGGACAAGGCAGCTGCATGGGTGAGCAGAAGAAAGGAGCAAAGCCTGAATTGGAACTGGTGCACTGGGAGCCCTGATACTTCAGCTACCAAGGGGATACTTCTCACAATGGAACTTCCCCTTGGGTGCTTTATTTGCACAAGGAAGACACTGTGGAGTCAAGGATGGATGAAGCCAGGCCTCTTTCAGAGTAGAAAGCAATGGTTTGGAGACAGGAGGTCTAAAGACAAAGGAGAGTTTCTTGGGAAGGTCTGTTGGTAAGAAAGCTCATCATTGTTTTAATCTATCACTTGATTAAAGGAAGAAAAGAGGAACATGGGCTTTCTGGAGTTTGTGTAGCAATAAAAGAGGAGAACCCAAAAGGTGAGTCTAAGGAGCAGACCAAAGATGAGACCTAAGAGCTTCTAAACAAGGAGACATATACACTGACTGGCATTCACTGAGGAAATGACTCCAGTCTGAAAAGTCCACTCTACTGAGATTCAGGAAGAGGCTGGCAACTCAATGGCATCACTGTGTCTTGTTATTTTGGTGGCAGTTAGTCACACATCATTGTGTTAAGTCATCATCTCAATAGGGCGAATACTTTCTTTTGACAAAAAAATAAATGCCAACATTTTAAAAAAAGGATTTAGTTGGGACCAAAGGTCTGTGTAGTTTTTAGAAAGCCAAATTTCAAGAATAAAATATCCTCACTTTATGATATCTTTTTCAATTTGTATTTTGTCCTTTATCTCATGACAAAACTCTGAAATGAAAAAGATTGGATATAGTACACTATTTCACTGTCACACAATGTATGGACTGTCTTTTGAAACATATGGTCTGTACTCCTCCTGATCTAACTTCTGTGTGGCTGGCAGTGGCTAATCTCTCAAGTCCTTACAATAAAAATGGCAACTAAAATATTCTTTTTCCGTCAGTAAATATTCTTTTTCCATCAGTAAATATTTCCCCTGAGACAAACAAATTCTATCTCAACAGCACCTCCTTCTGTGTGTGGACACAGAAACAGTAGCACTTGTGTTCTGGACAGCAGTATGCTCGAGAGTACAGTAGTGACTGTATTAGTGGAGGCCCCAGGCTTGGATCCTTATCCTTTGCTGCTTATTTTTCCCAGTGTTATGAACTGTGATGTTTTCAGCAAACTTAAATGTGAAAGGAATTCATGCAAATAAACTTAAATGTTGGCTTCAAACACTCCATTTTCATAAATATTTTACGCAAGTTTTCACAACTGTTCTATTTGTTAAAAAATTTCAGTGAAAAATTTTTTCAATGGATTAACCTCATCTTCACTAATGTACTGCTTGAAATCTGAAAGAATATTATTCCAAACTTGGAATGGAGGGGTGGTACTGCATTTATTATTCAAATATAGGTATCTTATTTGGAATTTCCTGGGACTGTTAATAAGAATTTAGGACTGAAAATAATGGTAACACAAGAATCCCCCCCTCTTTTTTTTTTATAGAGCCAGGATAGCAGAGGCAGGAAATAATTAAAAGAACAGAACTTGACCTCTTTTGTGTCAGTAAAAAGAAGAAAATATGTACATTCATTCAAAAAAGGATTGATCTTTCATATATGAAAATGTTGCAAAGATAGGTCACTGCTTTGCAGTTATAGTATTTTTTTTAAAATCAAGACAGGGTTTTGCTGCAGAGCTCAGGCTAGGGTCAAACTGGCTATCCCCAGCTCCTCCCAAGTGTCATGGTGACAGGTTTTACTGCCACAGCAGTTCCAGTGGCACTTTCACTACCTTCTGCTTTGTCAAAGACTTCTATCCAACTAACAAATACTAGAATAAGGTGGTAGGTCTTTGGAAACTGCAGTAATTTTGTTTTTTCATATATATATATATATATATATATATATATTTCATATAGTATGAAATAAAATTTTACCTGAAAATATTAAAAAGTCAGTGTAGAACCAAAATACATATCCCATGAAGTAGGAAAGACTGCTGATTTATGACCTGAGTTGGTTGGGCTGGGCTACTATGGAAAAAATTTTCCCAAAGGCTCATCCTCCATAAGTGAGGGATCAATCACCTTGTTGTCCCATCACTGAATGACCACCCTGACATTCCATTCATATTGTAAGAGAATTAATAAAAAATATTGTAGGTTTAGACCAGCTGCTTCTGCTTAAGTCCCATGGTTTCAGAACTATAGCTACATAACTTAAGGGGGATGTAATCTGATGGCTGTATGTAATCTAATTCTAACTGATGTTAAAACATGTACCTAGGCATGTCCCCAGTTCTGTGGTGAAGTTCCACAGCAAATTACATTTTAGACATGTGATCAAAGACACTATTGAGTTGAAATAAAGAAACCCACACAACCATGCTCTTTCCCTGTATCAACAATTACTTTGGCCTCATTGTCTTCTGATAGTTTCATGATTCTTAAAGAATTGAAGGACACACTAAATACTTATGTAAGGAATGATAACATTTCTGGTTATACCTACGGAGATGCAGGCTGTCTCGATGTCCTGGACCTATGGTTCTTTCCATCCATAAATTTCTGTTTCTATATTGGATAAATATGTGTGTATGAAGATAATATATTGGTTTAATTAAAAAGCCACGAGGCAAAGCTGTGACTTCTAAGGAAAGGTTCATGGGGCAGCAAGGAACTGTGTACTGTTAACTTATTCATACCTAGATGCATGGAAACATACACATATACATACATATACACATACACAAAGAAAAATGGCGTGCATTACTAGGTAAAATGACATGATTCTGCATGCTTCATCATAACAAGCACTGGCTGCATAAACTCTTCATGAGCATGGCAGCTTAGTGATCATGTGGTCAATATGGGCAATCCTTACAGTGCATCAAAAACATCTAACTTTTAATTCTACCATGATTGAAACTGTACCCCCACCCTCAGCAGGAGCCGCCAATGGAGATTTACTGACCTGTCTCTGCTTCGTCGAGAGGGGAAGGCAGCATTGCAGCCGGCCACTGTGCAGACATGCATCTCTTTTAAGTGAACGTTCCTGTAGTGAAGCTTTACACTGTAGGAGCTTTTGAAGCTCTTCTTGCACACATAACAGATTTTGGGGTCTGGACTAGAACACAGGTCACCTTCAGGGGAGAATTTTTGAGGGCTTCCATAATTCAGAGACGATGTAAAACTTTCATGCAAGGCAGCCATGCTGGCCCCCCCGCCATTGTACAGTCCATACTGGCTCATGTAAAACATGTCGTAAGTGGGATCTGTGAATTCTTCCTTTACCTTGATGACATCTTGGTGAGATGGCTCACTGTGGTTCTCATCAGGCCTCTCACTGTTCATCAGGACTTTTTCGCTCACCTCACTGTGGATGTGCTCATCCCCTTCCATGGATTCCTCACCCAGTTTAGGCTCTGAAGACTCAGACTCGTTCTCATAGTCCCGCTCGGGCTCCTGGTCCTCAGATGTCATACTGTCAGCCCTTCTTATTTCAGTTCTTGAAATGCACCGGGTTCTGTTATGCTTAGAAAAGTCCTTCACAGACATGCCTGGGCTCATCTCCTCTTGGGAATGACAATGATTGTCATGGCTCATGTCATTGACCACAGTCCCACCATCATTAGGGTCATCATCTTCATCATCAAACTCATCAGCTGTATCAATGATTTCCTTCTCAATTTTTACAGGCATGCTTGACTTCCTAGGCTTTTTCTTAGGTGCCAGGTCAGCACTGGGCTCATGAGTGCCCATCATCACTGCTGGCACTATTGGCTCAGAGGGTGGAGGAGGATGCTGTTCTATGGTACCACTGGTTGGAATGATGGGACTGGTTGGGAGGGAGGTTGGAGGACTCACCATTTCCCCTGGAGTAAGTAAACTTCTATAAAAAGGAGGAACTGGTTGTACAGTCTTTAGCCCAGAAAATACCAGCTGGCTAGGGAGAGGGTTCTGTAAGACGGGGTCTAGTGGAGGAGTGGTAAAACCCATTGGGGGCCGACCAGGACTTGTGAGTGTGAGATTTGATTTTGTACTTGCTATGACTGGAGTGGCAGCTCCTGATGTAGCCCTAATTAAATCTTTGTCTCGGTTATTCCTTAGCATAGGCATGTGAAGGCGGGGGTTGGGGTTTGCACTGTGGCGATTCCGGCTTCGAAGGGAACTGAAGACCATGTTGCAACCTTCAATAGTACATCGATGTTTAATTTTCAGGTGAACTGCATTATAATGAATTTTGAGAGTACCTTTGTCATAGAATGTCTTCCCACATGCATTACAGAATACCCTTCCTTTCCTGGAGGCTGACCCCATCCTTCTCATACGGTGAATCCGGAATGAGCTTTTTGGGTGTTCAGTTTTGCTTAGATCACTGACTGGGGCAGAATTCTGAATGGGGGAAACACATGCTGGCTCGGTTTTGGGTTCCACATTAGTGATGCTAGTCAAGGCATTTCTATTGGGTGTTTGATCACTCTTATAAGGTGTGGGAGATACTTCAGATTCACTGCTCTCATTATATTCATTCTGGGTTGAAATGCTAGGTTCCCGCAGCCTCAGTCCAGGCTGCTCTAAAAGCAGCCCGTTGGGAGGCAACCCTAACAGTGGGGCTGAGACAGGGTTTATATACTGGAATGGAAGCAGAAATGCAAGGCTGTTTGGTATGTTTTCAAAATGATGAATGCTGGAAGGATTGCTGTTCTCTAAGTGAGCAAGGAGGCTAGGGCTCCTGGTGCGATTATTGCTCTCAATGAAAGTCCTTATATCCGAGTCTGTCTTTGAAGATGGTACAGCCACAGCTTGCCCTTCTTTCTCCTGAATTGCCATCAGCTCCACAATGGATTTGGTTTCTCCAAACCGCAGAAACTGCTGAAGGGTGATGATTTCCTCTTCTCGAGACATGATGGCCCAGCGGTCCAGTACTTTGCCAGCAGCGTCCTATAGGCCACATCAAAGAAACAACAAAGACAAATAAAAAAAACTTATTGATTGTGCATAATTATTCAATACTACTGAAGGTGCTCTGCCAGCTTAGGAAACACAGAGCCAGAGCAGAAAACGGCATGTGAGCAGTGTTAATAAAAGTTAACACACAAAGCAAACTTTTCTGCCATGCAAATGTAGCAATTACAGTCACAATTATAGAAACAGATTGAGTTTAATAATGTCAAGGCAAACAAAATGTGGACCACTGGGGCTTTGTGATGTAAAATGCCTTCAGTAATGCCATTTTAACAATAATGATCTATATACTATGCAACTCTTTAGCATATATTAGTATAAGATGTGAACTCTTGCTGTGCAACCTAGTATAAATGAAAAAAAAAATTGTTCCCTAATCTTTGTTAAATAATGACACCACAGGAAAGAATTAAATACAGTTCATGATGTGTACTTCTTCAAGTCAAGCAGACATGACACTAGATTCAGTGATGGAAATTCCTTTAAATGAGAGTTATGTGACTTTTGGAATAACTAATAAAAAGAGAGAGATAAGTAAAATAGCATCACTCCTTCAAAAGTCCATCACTATATTGCATATGATCTTTTTTAAATGCCTGTATTTTTATGCTGTTTAAGACTAGGCAATTTTGTGAGGCAGAGTGAAGGAAACATCATTTGTGAAAGGTAACTTCTCTTCTTGAAAACTGGCTGTAACCCAGCCATTTAAAGTTTGACGTACATTTAAAGTATATGATATTTCAGGATTTTGTTGAAAGGACAGGAATAGATACCTGAAAAGCAAGCATGCAATGGCTTTAGATAGAAGAAAACATGTAAAAAGTTGTCTCTCAGCATCCTCCTGTGATAGCAAAGGGAATCCATAGAGACTATACATCAGCCATCATCAGACTATGTGCTGTTAAATATACATTAAAAAGCATTTCACACTTTCATTTTTGCTAGTAACTATGATATTTGCCTGGAGGTAGGACTTAAGAATCCTGCAATGTAATGTCAGGCAATCCATTTTAACATGTGCTGAGAGAAATCTATTCAAACAGTTAAATAATCACTATGTGAGTTTTTTTTTTTACGGCATCATTTCTTAGGCCCACCAGGATCAGGGATCTTTATAGCCCTCCGTGCACGACACTTGCTTCATCTCTGACCATCAACTTAAGAAAGCACAAAACCTTCTAGAAAAACAAATGGTGCTGGGGGAGTTGGAGAACTGGTTCAGCTGTAGGAAACTGATTAGCATGTGTGTAGCCTTGGGTTAAACACCAAAACAAACTTAAAATGACAACACACTTATTAGGTACAAAAACAAAAATCCTAGCTTTACACTGGAGCAATCTAATAGACACTGCCTGGAGAGACTGATCAAAGCTAACACCAATGGAGGGAGGCATATTGTCATCTTGTACTCTTAATGGCATATGATGATTGGGAAGGTAGCTCTTATAAACATTTTTTTCTTCAACCCAATTACAAGGAAGGATCAGGAAAACCAAAGTTGAGGGGGCAGTGTATACAATACTGGATAAAACTCTTCAAAGTACAGTAGTTACAGGGCAGGCGGTCAAGATGTGATTGTGTGGTGCTAGGGATATTAGATCAGAAAAGACACATTAGCTGGAAAAGTAGCAAAATGTGCAGAAAGACTCTGGATTTGATAACAGTGTCATAGCGATCTTGATTCCCATATTTCAGCAACTGAGCCATGATTACATAAGATGTTACGCTAGGGAAGAGGGTGAGGATGAAGGAACCTTGACTATTTTTGCAGTGGAAAGTCTATCCTTAGCCTTTGGATATGAACTTCCCCCTGGACCAGTCATGTTCTGAACCATCACAGCTAGTGTGAGTAGATAGCCAGCATTTATCTGAATTACTTCTTTAAAGCAGATTGGAGAGATGTATAGCATCTCTCATATCAGTTTATATAGTCAGCATGTGTGGATGTCCATTCCTATGAAAACTGTCAAAATGCTTTCCCTTTCCCTTATCATATAGAAATAGTTGCCTTTAAGATGAAATGTTCTAAAAAACTCCCTGTTGAAAGTAAAAAACTCCCTGTTGATGCCAAGGGCGGCTAGTAACTTCAGACAATTCTGGAGTGCTACAACAGCTACTAGACAATGGTCACTAATAGTTACTGATGTTCCTCAGAGCCTTGTTTCTGGAATGTGGGGAACAGAAGGAAATTCTGGTGCTGTAGTAATGTAAAAAAAAGTAAATCATGATGTTATATACATGATTTCATTGACAGTATGACACCTGCTCCATGCCACCATAATAGAATCCAGAGAATGGGGAATGTTAAAAAGATATGAAATCAGAAGTGAAGTATACAAAGACAACTTGTGAAGGTTCCAAGATGCCCTCTTGGAGTCCAAGCCTTGAACGCCAAAATTCTGATGCTTCAGTTCACTGACTCCACAGTACTAACTGAACACCATTCTTCTATATACTATAGTTAGGTCAACAGGTAGAATGTTTTTAGAACAAGGCTCTTTCTAGAACTCTGTATGGCCCTCTTCTACACCATTTTTTCTTGCTAACAAATAGCTCTTGTGATTGCTCATTTCTGTTAAGCTGAACTCCATTGTGAGCAGTATATAGTCATGTCTTCTCCAGGTTCTGCCCAGGCATTCTGAACCTAAAACTATAGTTCAACATACATGCACAAGATCACAGCTGAGGGAATTAAATGAGCCACAGAAACCAAAATGAACCATCATCAAAACCACCAACATCATCTCATTCCCCAATCTTTCTTCCCATCTCTCACACATGGCACACAACCATCCTATATGTTTTATTTTTTTTCTCCTGGCTGCCACAATGCCTGCTGCTTCTTCTAAAACCACTGTCTTTTAGAAGTCTGGTAAGACTGAGTAGCTACCTCTGAGAAAACTGAGGGTGTGACATTAAAATTACTTATTTAGGTTAAAAAAAGAGTCTAGGTAAGGAAATCTGAAAATCTCTCTCTCTCTCTCTCTCTCTCTCTCTCTCTCTCTCTCACACACACACACACACACACACACAATCTGTTAAATTAAATGTAAGGTATAACAAGGTATAACAATATCATACCAAAATGTCTGCTAATGAATACACTGAAGAATTGCACAAATTTCTAGAGTTCAATGCCAGGGTATCCTCTGGATCCCACCAATATGAAAGCCTACAGGACTTCTTCCCCAATAAGTTCTCAATCATTTGATCACATTACCTAGTAACTATTACATTTGTAAATGGAAAACCCCTAAAAAAGAAAAATGGATATAAGGAGTCCACAATAAGTTCCTTGCTAAGAACAACTCAGTTTTATGGGACAAGCTGGTTTAAGGGAACAAGAAACCATCAAAGATAATAAATAAAGCATTTATTAAAGAGCTCTATGGCAGAAACACACATTGTTTAGTTCAGTGACTTTTCAGCAAAATGGCTGAAACTAGAATGTTTTATAATCATTTAGATGGACCAGTACCAGTTTGAAGGCTTTGTAAACAATCAAAAACAAAACAAAACAACGAACAACAAAAGTACCAATAAATAAACTCCAAGTAATTTACCACAGCCATTAACCATTTGGAAACCTTTAGGACAATTTGACTACATGCATGAATTTTTCTGAGTAATTTATTTTTATTATACTTAAGTGTTGATTAATGATTGATGAGGGAAAAATCTAGGCTACCTTAATGTTTGAGAAGTAGAGGTGTTCAAATACACTTTATCAAGTGAACAGGAGTCATAAAAATTAGATATTACTATGGAATGAGTACTAGCAAAGCAAAAATCCAGTTTTGTAGGCTTATGAGGATCATGACCACCACTGACAAACCCATAACAGGACAGCAGTCTTATGCATTTATATATTAAGGTCTAGGTATAAAACTGGACTCCTGACTTACTCTCTAGTTGGTAAATCAATTCCTTTAGGCTTTTCTACTTGTAAACAGAGTTCGCTGACTTCCAACCCATTAGATTGGGAAATGATATTTGCAAAATGACAATAATATGATTTCACTGTTCAGTTAAATGTAAGGTATTATTTTAAGCATTAGTTTTCTGGATATACTATTAATTTTAAAAGTTAAGAAACAACAAGTAGTCAAGAATTAAAAATCTGTGTTATCAGGTTCAGAAAAAGTTCAAAACACATAAAATATTAACATTTAACCATCTTGTATGAAAAGACATCCTATTATTTAACCAGAGTTGTCATATTCCTTATAGAAATCTGTCTGTTCTTAAATATCTCTGCAGAGTGTTTGTTTGTTTTTTTTTATGATAGGGATTAAAACCAGTGTATTGAGTAAACTAAGCAAGTGCTCTACATATGAAGTACATGCCCAACCTAGAAAGAGTGATTTTTAAACACTGTTTTTAGCTGTCATGGTTTCAGTGGTTCACACTGACCCTCTCTAGAAGGCCTCTTACAAGACTTGTGGTTTCAAGATAAAGTAGGCTTGCTGGCTAATCTCATTGGGGGAGATGGACAATAGAGAAGGAAAGGCTATAATGAGACAAAAGAGATGTGGTGGAGTTGGGATGGACTACCAAGCAATCTCAAAATCAGAATAAGAATGATCTCACAACTAACCATGTCATAGCTTAGAGGAAAGATAACTCCCTGTGTTTTGTTCATGGAAGACTATGAACAATACCAAATACAGCACATATTGAAAGCATATTCACTCAGCATTATTTAGATTGTTAAGAGGTAAACAATATTGAGGAAGAAACCAGGGAAACAACCAAATTCACTGTGGCCTAAAAAACATCATGGGAAAAATCCAACCAAGGAAGTCAAAGACTTGTAGAATGCAAACTTTAAGACACTAAAGACATTGAAGATACCAGGGATGGAAAGACCTTCCATGTTCATTGATTGGTAGGATAAATATTGTGGAAATGACCATCCTACAAAATGCAATCTACAGAATCATTGCACTCCCCATCAAAATTTCATTGTTATTTTT